GAGTACCCCGTATAGGATGGGGAGGTAGCCCCAGCAAGGTTTCAGGATGTTCTTAATGGACATCACCTTAGGGCCCTGTGTGAGTTATGGCCGCACTTGTGCGCGCGAGCAGTACACTAGTTGTAGGTAAAGTGAGTGAGAGAGAGAGAGAGACGTAGAAAGGGATACATAGGACGAAAAATGCAAACAAACCTCGTGATAATTTTCCAGGAAGTGGTGCATTTGTTCAACTTCTTCCGAAGTAATTGACTTCACCACATAGTGTCGATTGTATGTTATGAGGAATTTGGAGCCTGACTTTCCACGGACCGAGTCCCACAGGGGTTGCGACCTCGTGAAAGATTCCTGAGTGTAGATAATCAAAAGGGAAATTATACAAATGGACCGAAACGGGCAGTCAAATATGAACACATTTCAAAAGATCCATGACAGGCTAAATAAGATCATTAGAGTAGTTTAAAGTTGGCTGAAATAAACCAAAGAATATCCGAAATGTATGTCCTGCGAAACAAACGTGTCCGGCGAACTTAAATACACTATTGAGGAAGCAATGCCACTAAAACATCATTTAAGCACTTAGTCTTCCAAGTTAGTCAGGAGAGCCTAGAATACAAAGTCTAAATTCCAAAAACTGACTATGAGCAAGGACAGATAGGTAACTATTCCAAACTAGAAATTTGCTTTTTGTGAGTGCCCTGTTCCCCCTATCTCCTAATGTTGTCTAAAAAGACGCTATTCCATAACAGGTTGTTTATGTCCGTTTAAGCCATGAAATCAACTACACATTAGGCTTTACGCGTTGGTTCTTGTGGTCAGTCTGAATCCCTCGTGCGCGATCGTGGGGGTGTAAGGCCAAATAGGAGATATGAAAGGTGACGCTTGCTGAGGAGCAGGGACGATTATGAAATAATGGTTTATGTTTGCGTGCTTCATGAAGGGCCGCTTAGAAATGTCAAATGACATGGGTGGGTGCCTGAAAATGACCTTAAATGAACTGAGATTCCGACAATACATTTGCTGGTGTCGACTAGACTGCCATTATTAACAACAAGTCACTTGACGTTAGTCATTCAGTCGCATTTCTACCGAATAGATCTGAGCTGAAATGAAGAAGAATAAGCTAGCATTTAACCCAGGGAACGGGGGCTTTTGAAGAGCAAAAATGCTTATTAACGCAGACATTCACTTACGCAAAACACTCAACACACCTGAGTTCATAGATCAGGATAAGACGGGCGTTTTTAGTATGAGTAGAAACTCTGATCCCAGTGTTCATCCTACCACCTTGTTTCAATGCAGGTGCCACGCTTTGCCGTCAGGCACCAACACATCGATGATGCAAAAACTGGCATCAGCCTTAATTGACAAAAATGACCAGATTCACGGGTTTTTGGGACATTCTATAGTGGTAGCCAGAAAGCTGATTTTTTACAAAAGTACACACATCAGGCTAATACAGCTTGCTAAAA